ATTATTTGTTATATTTACTGTGGCTAATTAGCAGTAAGACTGCCCCACTGAGGAAAGGGGAATCATTTGTGGATATCTGCTAAACAGTGCATTCTTCTGTAATCTCACAGACATTAAAATAATTCTCTTCTATGTAATTATCAAGCCAACCCTTGTTACTTCTATATCATGACCAATGTCCTAGAGAATACTAACCCCAATAACAAAACAATGAATCAAGACTAATACCTGCCAAGATGGGTCTAAAGCCAAGCATGTTTTCATCTGTTTGTTCAAATAATGGTCCACAGCCTTCCAAAATAGGCTTATAAGAGTCACTATGTCTGACTCAAATACCCAGATAGATTTATGTGGCTGGAATTCTGATGGGAGAGTAACATGCAAGATGTTTGTGACTTTGATTTTAGTGATCCTAGAGCTTCCAGTGATCCATAATTGTCCTCCTGTGAAATGTCCCATGAGTCTCCCCCTTTCAATTCCTCATCAGTATTACTATCCTGGAGACTTTATCATTGGTGGTGTTTTTTCTCAATTCTACATATTTTCCAATCCAATCACTTTTGAAAGAGATCCCTCTCATGATGCCTTTGATATGAGTTTGTAAGTGTTCCATGTTTTCTTTTGCTTCATAACTATATCACACCCCTAGGCAAGCCTAATAGTTGATTTTAATCTCTGTGGGATTATCACAGTAGCATCAATTTTCCGTGCAATAGGCTACTTCTCTTTTTCAAATGAAGATAGGTATGGGAGAATGGTGAAGATTCTATTCAAGTATTACTCTACTGTAGGATATCTATAGTGATCCCATTATCTCCACCACCTTCTTTTATGTAACCATCACATCGAAAGGTTGATTGCATTGAATGGAAACAATGGTATATATATCCCAGTCACTCTACATATTTTGTTTTGAGAAAGTGTCATTAAATGTGTGACAATTGTTTACAGTGCCTTTTCTTTGGAATATTTTAAATATTTTAGTGCTGATCCTGAGGACAGATTTTAATCACTAAGATAATTGATTTCCTTGCAAACATTTTATAGTGCATATGGTGTGGGCTTGTGTATATGTACTCTTTTTTATTTTATTGGCATCATATGTAGAAGGTTGTATTTTCAAAATCTCATTTCATAGGATGTCCAAAGTATTAATTTTTAACCATTAAAAAAAGTCCTGGTTGCTTATTAGAATCGGTAGTCTTAATAATTCAACTTCCTATAACCATCAATGATACCCTTAGGTCAGGATGGTGGTTTGTATTAAAGGAACTTTATGACTGTACAGAAAATATTTTTTAATCCTTACTTGTAGCTGAAAGCCAGATGCCCTCCAGTTCAAATTCTGTATGAGGTTACTTATGGTGGGACTATTCCATTCTGCACAGGGGCTGTAGTTTGCAAGTCATGATTTGTAATTCTAGGACTTCTTAAATTCTTCCAGTGCAAAGTTCTGGTTCTGTTGCTTTGTTGGTCTTGATTGATTCATTGTACCCAGATGTAACTTGGCTCAGCTTAATCCATCCCTCAGTTTGCATCTCTTCCGCTATAGCAGGATGTTCTGAAATGTTATCTCCTGCAAATAATTATGATAGTAATAACAAAGACATTAGTAAGCAGTAATTTAAACACACTAAGAAATTTGACCAATATTCTGTGAATACTGTAGATGTTGGTCCACAAACAGAAAGTTTTGTGAAAAGTAAGACATATTTTACTCTGTAAGACTTTTTTAGTATACAGGAACATAGTCCTGTACCATGAAATAAATATCCTAAGTAAATTCTGGACTGGTGATTGATAGGGCCATCATAACATCATCTAGCCATTACTGAAATTATATAAACCGCCTCCGTGTTACTGCAGTTATGGCACAACAAAAATTGGGTTACTCTAGAACATGCTATTGGCAATGTGCAAATCACCATGAAATGTGGAAAATACATTGACCTTACTTGATTGCCTTAACTTATAACCCCATCAAAATTCTGCATTTTAAATCATGTATATGCCATTGTATTTGGAGACACACCTCTCTGAATAAATTAGATTTTACACCTATATTTAACAAGCAAAAGGGCCATTTTTAAAGGATGTACCATTGAAATATAAATATTTGAGCACTATTTGGGATATTCACCATGTTCCTATAATAATGGTCACTAGTTACTTGAAAACAGTAGAACCACTATGGTAATAATTAAAAGTACAATCATTTGTGCAACCTTCTTCTCACTTCCTTGATCTCTGAAAATGCCATCCATCTGAAAGCAGTAAATATGCTTTATTCATCTCCTGATGTGGCATGTGTATCATAATTTGAAGAAGATACATGATTCATTAACTTTTGTTTTCTTTGCAGTGTAATAACTCAGGGCTATCAACATATCCTGGCCTTGCAATTTGCTGTAAAGACAATTAATGAAAATCCAAGGATCTTACCCAACGTCACGCTGGGGTTCCATGTTCTGAACAGCAATTTCCAGCCGAGGTGGACTCTCCGTGCCTCAATGGAACTTCTCTCCACACTGGGCAAGTGTTACCCAAATTACAAGTGTGATGTGCAAGCAACAGTAGCTGTTATTGGGGGGCCTAATGCTGATGTGTGTCTCTTCATGGCAAGCTTTATGTGCATCTACAAATTTCCACAAGTGAGTTGTCCTCTAGAACACAGTTGAACAGCCAATTTTTAATGTTGGTTTCACTGTATCTTGTAATTTCATCAAACCTCAAATCCTGATCATGAAAAAAACTTGTAACGTTACTTCTCACTCAGTTATGACTCGAAATGTTGATCCAAACTTCAGATTTGTTTCTTAGTGTTATGAAGTGTTTTCATTTGCAATACCTGTGCCAAATCTATGCTGAGTATTCTGAGTCTTTGGATTGTAACTGAATGTTAAAATACTTTTTGTGGTTTCTTACAAAGTAAAGTTCCTGCACAGACACACACACACAGACACACACAATGTGAACAAGTGTGAGAGAATTTCGTTTTATTCTATTTTTACTATATTTTTATATTGTTCTTATTGTATTTTAATTAATATTTATTGTTGTTTTATTGTGAACCACCCAGAGTCACTTTTCCGTGAGATGGGTTGGTATCTAAATTTGAAATATAAATAAATAAACAAACAAACAAACAAACAAACCTTCTCTCTGAAGTGGTCTATTGCTAGGAAGCTTCACCACTTGATTTTCATCAGCAATATGCATGTTGGTCCTTATAAATTCTAAGACGTTTAATACATTCTAATTACCATTTCAGTGTCTCTTAGGTCATTAGCTCCTCCAGATTGACCATTTCTAGAGCCTCTGACAAGTATTTCCTCTCTTATGCTATTTTCACAGCATTTAACAACTCTAATAAGATATAAATATTCATAGTTCATTGAATGATGGATTGGGACAAGTCAAGGAATTTGATAGGACTACTGGTATTCAAATATTGTGTTTTACAAATCTCTCCCATCATTTTTCCCCATTAGTTTGCATATGGCTCAGCTGCACTGCTCAATGCCAAATCCCAAGGCATTTTTGTACACCAGCTATTTCCAGACATCAGCCAACAGTATAAGGGGATTCTCCAGCTATTGCTGTATTTCCAGTGGACGTGGATTGGAGTGATTTTCATTAATGAAGAGAATGGGGAGAGATTTGTACAAAAAGTGCTGCCCACGTTTGTCCAAGGAGGAATTTGCTTTGATTTTGTGGAAAATTTTCCACCAATAAATTTTTCAAATGAGCTCAGTGTGCTGGCATTTTATTTTTTTTTTTGTCTGCGCTCAGTCATTGCTGACCCTGCAGTGACTGCTTGGACGAG